TTTATAAATGGTATCTCACATTGTACTTGCATGTTACAGCTTCAATAGGTCTTTTTCATGTATATTATAACAAAATACTGGCCTCAAAAGGCCTAATTCTAGTAATCTGAGTGAAAATTTGGGTTTTGAAGGCCTGATCTTAGCATCTGACCAATGTTGAGCCCTCAGAATGCCTGATTCTCACATCCGGCCACATTGGGGAAAATAAACCCAAAACCTTAGGCAAAGCCAAACTTTTTTTGGCGGAATTTGGTAATTTTGTCCAAACCTTTTGGGCATTTTACAAAATTTTGCCTATGCCCTCCCCACCTATTTTCAGGGGTCCTGTGTTAGTAAACAAAATGGCTCCATCCGAATCTCTTGTTCCTAATTCAGCCATGATGGCCCCCAATTCATCTTTCACTATTCACTGCATGCACCGCACAGTTTTTCCCAGGATAAACCATGGATAAAACCGTGGATATAAATAAAGTTTTTGCTCGGGTTTATCCACGGGAATTACCGAAACAAAAACTTAAAGCTTATCCAAGGTTTTGTCCTGGGACAAAACTGTAACATAACGTTAAGTTTAAGCTCAGACATGTTGCTTAAGTTTGTCCTAGAGTAAATCCCGGGATAAAACTCTGGATAATCTTTAAATCTTATGTCACAGGATTTATGTCACACATGAAAAATTGCAAATAATACCATCAAAATCAGTAATTAATTCAGTGTTCATTACACAGCTCTTTGGGCACTGCCTGGCACCAAATATTAGATAGCCGTTTTATCCACAACATCTCTTGACCAACATCAACAAACATGGCCTTCTGCAAAGGCCACCTTGCTATAAAGAGTTTCTTAAAAAAAAAACAATGTGTAATTGTAAATACAAAGCAAAGCAGCATGGACAAAACTGGAAAAGTGATAAACAAAAATCATACTAGCAATGACAAATCATCAAGGCAATTCAAGGGCTAGCTTATAACAAAATTCATCATAATAGTATCTAGTCTTAGAAAAATAGGGATTGTTAGTATTGAATTAAAAAATCAAAGAAAAAAATAGTAAGCTGTGCATATTGTCTGATCCTCTAATCTATTAACCATTGGAATAATTGTCTCTTGTAACAAGTGACAGATACTGCTACAAACCACTGTTGCACCTCAAGCCAAGTGTCCAACACTGACAAACCACTGTTGTACCCCATGACAAGTGTCCAACGCTGTGACAAACACTGTTGCACTCTATGCCAAGTATTGGACACTTGTCATGGGGTGCGATAGTGGTTTGTCATAGTGTTAGACACTTGGCGCAGGGTGCGACAGTGGTTTGTCACAGCATTAGACACTTATCATGGGGTGCAACAGTGGTTTGTCATAGCATTGGATACTTGTCATGGGGTGCAACAGTGGTTTGTCAGTGTTGGACACTTGGCTTGAGGTGCAACAGTGGTTTGTAGCAGTATCTGTCACTTGTTACAAGAGACAATTATTCCAATGGTTAATAGATTAGAGGATCAGACAATATGCACAGCTTACTATTTTTTTCTTTGATTTTTTAATTCAATACTAACAATCCCTATTTTTCTAAGACTAGATACTATTATGATGAATTTTGTTATAAGCTAGCCCTTGAATTGCCTTGATGATTTGTCATTGCTAGTATGATTTTTGTTTATCACTTTTCCAGTTTTGTCCATGCTGCTTTGCTTTGTATTTACAATTACACATTGTTTTTTTTAAGAAACTCTTTATAGCAAGGTGGCCTTTGCAGAAGGCCATGTTTGTTGATGTTGGTCAAGAGATGTTGTGGATAAAACGGCTATCTAACATTTGGTGCTAGGCAGTGCCCAACGAGCTGTGTAATGAACACTGAATTAATTACTGATTTTGATGGTATTATTTGCAATTTTTCATGTGTGACATAAATCCTGTGACATAAGATTTAAAGATTATCCAGAGTTTTATCCCGGGATTTACTCTAGGACAAACTTAAGCAACATGTCTGAGCTTAAACTTAACGTTATGTTACAGTTTTGTCCCAGGACAAAACCTTGGATAAGCTTTAAGTTTTTGTTTCGGTAATTCCCGTGGATAAACCCGAGCAAAAACTTTATTTATATCCACGGTTTTATCCACAGTTTATCCTGGGAAAAACCGTGCGGTGCACGCAGTGATTCCTGCCAGCACTTACCTCACACACTTTTGCAACTCTATCGCGGCCGCAAGCCGCCTGCAGCAAGAAACTTTCATGTCTGCGACCCTAACGAATATCATGACAGACCTCACAAATCGGTACTTTCCTCTGCCTCCGCCTCTGCAACCTTCTGATGCCCTGAGGCAAAGATCCATGGTTCTCGTCCATCCGCAGCATATACGTGACCTCCAAATCTTCCTTGGTGATCCAAATGCCTCGTTTTGCCATTCTGAGCAAGCAGAACTTGTCGAAAAGATGCAATCACGGCAGAATCATCTCCTTGCGATTCTTCCATGCGGAATTGGCAAGACTTTCATGCTTTTGTTCCAGGCCAAGATATATGACTACAATAAGGTCACCATCCTCCTCCTACCTTTATCCGGCCTCCACGCCGACGAGCAGATCAACATTCCGTCAGTTACTCCGAATGGCTCCCAGACGGTCACTTTAACCCCAACGTCAGTGTTGTTTATATGAGCATTGAGCACGCAAGCTTCCCCTCCTTCATTATGTGAGTCATTCTATTTAATTCCTTCGTCGCAAACTCATATGTGTGGTTAGTTACTGAAAGGACCTCATCAACCAAAAGCAGCTCGCGCGCGTCGTTTTTGATGAAGCATACAAAGTCCTCACCGATGTCAATTATCGGGATGTTTTTCACCATGTCAAGATCCTTTTACAATACCTACCGTGTCCTTTCACTTTCTTCTGTGGCTGTCTTCCTCCAACGCTTGAAGCTGCCTTTTGGGAGTTCACCGGTCTCGAATACCTCGACATCATTCGCATGCCGACAGCCCACCCGGAACTCGCTTATGCTGTATATTTACTACCCAAAGACCAGGTCTTCTCGGAACTCATACGCTATGTCGAAGAACGTACGACGTCTTACCACATAGATGACCGAGCCATGGTATTCTGTCACTCCAAGGCCAACACTCAGAAAGTCGCTAGCGCCCTCGGTGTGCTGGCATTCTTTGCCGAGTCTGAGAAAGAGTTGCGTGATGCTAACAATACTGTATTTTGCAAGTGGGTTGAAGGGTCACAAAAAATCATGGTGTGTACGAGCATTCTAGGTTGCGGTGTTGATCTCCCATGCGTAAGGGATGTCATCCACTTTGATCTTCCTTATACTGCCCTCGACAAGCACCAACAAGAAAACTGCGCCAGCCGCGATGGCAAGCCCGCCAATGCCGTCACTTTTGTTGATTCCTCACGCGGAGCTCTACCCGATTGAAAAACTTGTGATTTTGGCACTGGCATTCTCCTTCCGTGGGCCAAGGACATAGTATGTCAGTGACTGATCCCAGGTTATTTTATTGACGGTGTGGCAGATCCCTGCACAGGAATTCCTGGAGCACAGTTATGCGACAATTGCAAGGCCCTTCTATTGACCCCCATTCTTAGTGGTCGACGCAGCGCCTATAAGCTCATCATCCTTGACATTCCACGGTCTTGTTGGCCAGCCCAGCAACATACCACTAGTATCCAACCCATTAAACTCGCTCTTGTCCATGCAGACGGAGCTGCCTCGCATTATGCAAACAGTGCCAGTGCCTCATTCTGGTCACATGGCAGCTCCACCACCCCTAACACTGATACCGTCGTCCTCTCCTCCTAACACTCGCTCAGTGCCATTTCATCCAAAAATCACGTCATTCGCACCCACTCCGCTTACACCTACAGGGATCCAAGTTTTGATGACCACTGGACAAAAAAGGGAAGAGCAGGAACAGAGGTACCGAGACCTTGCTGACACTATAGCAGCGGCCTTCAATACACTTCGGGACACCCATATTGCTTGCTTTGTACGAGGCGTAGAAGACTGGCAGGAACATTCCATGACACGTTGCAAACATGGTGTATGCTCCCTTGGTGACTCGGATTGGCAGCAATGGCAAGCCAATGCACTCAGGCTCTCTGAAGGTTGGTGTTATAAATGCTGTGTACCCCAAGTAAGTTCCTCCCTGTCTCGTGCATTCAACCCTCTCACAGCTATTTAGAAAAGCACAGGTGGCTGGCACTCGTATGTTAAAAAAGACATGGTCTGCCCGGATGCGAATCTTATCAAAGCCGCAATTTATGTCCTATGGACTTACCCACCAACCGACTTCAAACTCACTGATTGTGAATTCGTCATTCCCGAATGCTTAGGTTCCTTGAATGCCTTTCAAGACTGGCTCCTCGAGGCTCCACGTGATATGGACATTCCTCCCAAAACGGGGTTTAACAACATGCTGCGCCTTTTCGTCTGGTTACTGGAAAGGCGACAGATTTCTGTGTGATTACAAGTTAGCTAGTAGGCAGCGTTGACCGCTGATGTCTTTTTCGACACTCAGTAACATGTATAGCCTTTGTTGTAGTTTTCAAGTGTATTATTCGTATGTGTGAACACAAAAACTGATCGCGATGTGGCCTGTGTGATCAGCACAAATGACCACTGCTGAAATGGACAAGCTCGACATACATGCAGAAGCAGCGGCGCCGCGCCTAGGGCAGCCCGTCGCGCAACACAGACCCAAATTGCGTGACGGGCTGCCCTAGGCGCGGCGCCGCTGCCGGCCTAAGTCTGTTCTTTCCTGCCTGTCACGCTGCCCTTTGACTTTACCAAAGGCCTTCATGGCAAGACATTGTCTGACAGAGCAGATAGGTAATAGAAGTCACGCGGACGACACAGACGAGGTTGGGTAGACAACACGAGGGTGACGTGAGACTGACGTGAGCGACATGGACGAGACAGAGGTTACGCGGGCGGCATGGAGGACCTTGTTGACATTCCCGCCACCGGTAAGTCTCCGTCTTCGTCCGCCATCCATCCCACTTGACGATCTGCAAACCACAGGGGCCCTTGTCGACAACTACGAGCCGGCGTCCCAATCCACCCAGCCCCCCACCCCTCCTCTCCTCGCGTTCCTTTTTGCGGTCTATCTTGCTCTCTTACTCTTCGACACCCGCCTTCAAACACCACTTCAACGCATCCACCATCACTCCCCAGTCGCACGGCATCTTTCTGTCCAAGTATGATCCTGCCGCCTCTACCTTATCAACATTATCACCAAGTCCTTGACTGCCTACCCTAGCACTGCCAGCGCGGACACCCTCTTCGCCGCTTATACAGCCTCCATGGGCACGCTCTCAATCTCTCGATCTTCTCCGTCCTGGGGGCCGTCATCGCACAGTCCGAAGTTGCGGTCGCGTGCCCGCGTGAGAGCCGATGTGGGCATATGGGTTCCGCCTGTGTTGGTTGGTCTACATGAACTGTTGAGAGGTGCGGGAGCAGATGTGCGCGATGTGCGGGGCAGCGGTTCCTCTTGAAGGTACGTTCGCAGCCCTTTGTGCTCGTGATAGGTGCTCATGCGACGACATGCATTGTGTGGTTCATTTTTGGAGGGTAGTTAGTTGATTGGGGGCGCACGCCGCGAGCCACATCTCGGCTGTGGTAACTGAGATCGGGCACGTGGTGTCCATCCGCAGGGCGACCAAACAGGAGCTAGAGCAGTACACGCCCACCCCGGCATCAGCATCAAACGAGTTTTCGCCCACCCTGTACTCGGTCGAGGAGGCAAAGCCGGCGGCGCCTGTGCAGCGCACGAGCTTGTCGTTGGCCTCGAACAGGCGCGTGGACCATCCAGAGGAGGCCCACTACCCGCTGCAGCCCAATCTGCTCCGCTAGCAGCTGCCCTACTCGGCCGAGTCGCCATTGAGGCGTCTGCCGTTCTCAGGGCGCTCGTCGGGCGACGGCCGCTTCCGCAAAGCGTCGTCGGAGCGCTCGAGCTCCGCAGGCCGCTTGCCGCCACCGATTTTTGGTTAGGTGCCCACGGGGAGCACAACGGGCGTGCTCAGCAACGACTCGGAGGTCGCAGAGGGCTCCGAGGACGCCTGGATGGAGCTCAAGGTAATATTCGTATCGTGCGTCGTTCACCCCCGCACTCACGCTTTTTCGCAGCCCTACCTCAAGGCGCAGACTGTTTCGAGCGTCTACGCCATCTAGAGTGTTCTGTCCGGTGGCTGCTCCCTGACGCCTTCGCCAACGCTCAACGAGAACCTCACACAGATCATCAAGATTGTGTCCAGTATCGTCGCTGTCTGCCACAACAACCTCCCGCCCGCGTCGGTGCAGCAGGGGAACGACATCCTGCGCGAGCTCAGCAACCACATGAACAAGCTTAGTGAGGTCCAGGCCATGTGCAACACTCCCACGACGCAACCTTGGACAGGTGTGACTCCGCGTGGCAGCATTTTCGACGTCGAGCTCGGAAGCGTGTTTCCTGTCATTCCCATCCCTATCCCCATCTCTATGCCCACGCTCATCTCTCCATCTGTCTTCTCGTCGTCCATCTGGAAGCCACGCTCGCTGTCGGCCTACTGCTGACTGCACACCTCGCAAGTCCAGTGCCGCTGTCGAACGACCGCTCCAATGCTAAGTTCTTTTGGCTGCTCAGCATATCCGCATCCTCGCAGTAATACAGCGAGTTGTCTCTGCCCGTGATCATGCCCCCGCCGCCATCCTCTGCCCTTTTCCAGTCGCATAACCGACTGCGCAGTGCCTAGTGACAAGCTGGATGCTCGAGCGCGACGCAGACGTCACACTCTGGATGAGTGGCTGCATGCACATGTGGATCCCGTGCAACTGCACTAGCAAACTCGCCTGATGTTCCACTAAATGTGCTGAGCACTCAGACTGTGGCTTAGTTCTCTTTGCGTTGCTAAGCAGACATGAGAATTAGTGAGGAGGTTAACGATGTATACATGCGTCAGAATTCCAGGCTGTTCAACTCTAAGCAGTTCAGCCTTTAATGCTTTCCATGTCTGAGGAGCGTATTAATGCTATTGCTTCCTGGCTCGAATCTCTGCTGGAGCCCTCGCGCAAGCTCCACGCCCGATAGGCTGCCGCGCAACGCACCATCTCCATGTTGAAGTCGAAGTTTTCCTCACCTGAGTCGCTCGTCCAGACGTCCCAGACCATGTCACCGCCAAGACCCTGTGCATGCTCAATGCCACTCTTGCCCGCCCTATCGTTCCACCATGAGCCTCGCCACGCCTCGCCCCTCCTCGCCCCCGTCCCCCCTCAGTGCACGCACCCGCCTGCACCTGCGATCCGAAGCCACATGTGTATGTTCCCTTGTCCCCTCGAGCCCACACCCATCTCCTCGAGCCCACGCCCGCCGCCTACTTAGTACCCTCGATTCTCTACACCGTTGATGTTGACATTCACGCTCCTGCCTTCGAGTCCATGTGCGCACGCATGTCTTCCTCTCCACGCTACACATCTGCACCACTCAGTACCCTTCCGCTTATCGCCTCCAGCCCACGCTCGTGCGTCGCCTAGAACCTCCACGCTGCCCCGCTCTCGCCGCACTTGTGCTCCGCGCCCGCGCATAAATTATCATGAAGAGAATGCCACGCGCGCTTCAGTGCGTCGACAAGGAGGGTGAGGCAGCAGAGAGATGAGCTAGGAAGACGAAGGCAGAGCATTATCAAGGTCCGTACAACCCGATCTCGTCCTTTCGGCCCGCCCTTTGCTTGCAGTCTCTGCAGCCTCCTCAATGCCATGCCCGCTCACTCACTCGACCTCCTTGATAGTCAATCCCACCTCTGATGCGTGCATATGCGACCCCTCAATGCCACGCACCCGCCTTTGCCTGCAATCCACATCCACCCACATGCGTCCTGTCGATCCCACACCCGTCTCCTCTAGCACACACCCGCCTGCCGCCAAGTGCCTTTAACCCCCTCGACCACTTGGGCCCATGCATTTATCTTCGCCTGCGACCAACATCTGCGTCCACACATCTCTTCCAGCCCCTCATGCACGCACAATCTCTCGGCCCCTCCTCTTGTCGACCCTCATTCACTCCTCCATCGTCCTACCTCATCGCCGAGGCCTCACACTCCACCCCGTGCACGCTCGACCTCTCTTTTGTCAACCATCCCGCTCTTGATCAAGTCTAACTGGCTGGCGGCAGAGCAAGAGCCACAGCTAGCCCCTTGATATCAGTCTACTGACAGCCCAGCTGTCCAACTACCTTAGCTCCTCCCCCACCTCCCGCCTGGTCCACCATCACTGACCTCGACGATACCCCTAGTCTCGCACAGGTCACATCGGCTGTTCAAGCACGCAAGCTAGGAGCACATAATTGAAGTCCTGATCATATACCCATCGAATTCATCCGACAACATGCAATGGGGTCGCCTCGTCGCATGCGTTTAGTGCGCTCGGAGCATTCTGCATGCCCAAGTCCTCATGCGCGCCGCACCTGAGAGCAGACCCCCGCGCCCACTCCCCGTCCGCGACGGGCTCCTCCGCGCACAAAATTGCCGCCCATGCAACCAGTGCCGGCGCTAAAATATGCCCACTCGCGCTCTGCACGCTCGCTACAATCCTGCCGGATTGCAGGGCTGCATCCTTGCCCTCAAAATGATCGGCGGTGGCTTCTACAAAGTGTGCGTCTCCTTTGCCCATTTCCCCTTTACCTGTGCCCCCTTTTTTTCTTCTTTCCATCTGAGTCTCTTTCGTCCCCTCTCATTGTCCCCTTACGTGCATTTGGTGTGTAATCCATCCGTCACTTGGACAAATGCGGCGGGGGGCAGCGGACAGGTCTTATGTATGATTGCACACGTGCAGTTGCACATGCTTGGGGCCTGGGGGGGCCTAATGTCATGGATGATGGTGTGCGCAATGGCCGGCGGCGCCTTGCAGCTGCTTGACGCTGTCTACGACGCATCCGTGCCTCTGTCAGACGTGGTGAGCTCGGCGTGTTCGACAGCGAGCTCGGCACACACCCCGCCGTTGTCCGTGCGATGGCCGAACCCCCGGCCATCTATAGATCCTCACCCATCCGTCCCCATCACCCGTCCCTGCTGCTGCTCCCGCTGCCTTCATTACCCCACATGCCAAATCTTCGCCCATGTTGGCGGCAATCCGCAAGCTGCAGAGGCAGCTGGAGAGCTAGCGCATGAGCCACAAAGGGGCGATGCAGGCATACACAAAGGAGCGTGACACCTCGAAGAGCATGCTCGCGCGCACCAGGGACGGCGCCAGTGCGGAACCGTATGTCAACGGAACTGGGAGCTGGATTGGGAGTAGGGGTGTGAATGGCGCAGCGGAGAGCGTCACGTCGGAGCTGCAGGAGGTCGTACCAGAGTTGGAGCTGGCGGAGATCTAGAGCTAGTTCGATACATATAAGATGGAGATGGGGGTCGACAGCGTGCGGGTGCGCAATGAGCTCGTGAAGTTGCAGTGGGAGAACGGGCAGCTCGGGGCGTTGCTCGCCAAGGCTAACCCAAAGATCGAGTACACGGTGGGTGCGTTGTGTCTCATCCGCGTGTGTGTCGTCGACCGTGCTCATCGTTTTATTTATACATGGTCGCTGTAGAGCGTCACAAGATGGCGCTGGAGCAGTATGCAAACCAGGCGGAGGACTTGCGGGATGAGTGTCTGGCTGTAGGAGCTGCACGATAAGTACGCGCAAGCGGATATCAAGTGCAATCGCGCGATCGCGGACGTTATCAGTGCGAACGGAAAGGTTGAGCAGCTTGTCAATGAGCGCGCAAACTTGTGCGTGGAGAAGCGGATCTGGGAGATGTGTGTTGCGCCTTTTACTGTTTATTCCTCTATGTTCTTAATTGGATGGACATCAATCAACCGTCTGGGTGGGTGCGTATATGCTGACTGCATCTATGTCAATAGGGTGTGCAGAACCGCTTATTGGAAGAGAACGCGGCGCTTTCGATTGAGTGGTCGCATCTGTCGGATCGGATGGGCAACGTGCAGAAGATGCATACGGATCTCGAGTGCTCGGTTTGACCTGAGTCCCCTCGACCCCTTTGATGGCGATGTTCCTGCCATTGACCCCACACCCTGTCGTCCGCTCAGCCCACGCCACCCTGCCACCCAGCACCCTCACACACTTGCGCCCAGAACCCTCATGCTCATCTCCTCTGCTGTCGATGTCCCCACTCTCGACATCGTAAACACTCGCCACCCAGAGCCCCCGGTGGCCCTGATCCCATCAAATGTCGCCCGTCCCCTTGACCCCATGTGTTTGTTCTCGCCTGCATCCTGTCACGTACAACCACACACACTCGTTCCCTTAGGTACTCACACAGCCTCTACCCGGCGCCCTCCTGCTCGTCTCATCAATCCCATACGCATTCATCCCCATACCCCTGACACCCCCGTAATACAGCGCCCTCAACATCTTCAATCACTGAGGGCTGAATTGCGAAGCTGCTCCATTGACACCTCCGCGCGCGTGCTACACGCAAAGCATTGCGACCATTCTAGTGTCGACGAGGAGGATGAGACCCAGCTGGCAACGGAGGATGAGGAACAAGTGCGTCGGAGAGACGAGCTGAGAAGAGTGGGCACGGATGACAAGGCTATCCATAAGGGATGTAGGTATGTTGTCGTCTCTTACTCCCGTTCTTCTCCCGCACATGTACCTCTTGTATTTGACTTATCTGCCCGCCCCTGCCCGGCATCACGCCCACTCTTCTTCTCATTCAGTCCTGCTCTCGACCTGCTCGCCCAACCCTCTCGACCCGCTTGCCTGACCCTCTCAGCCCGCTTGCTTGCTTGCTTGCTCGCTCTTGTGCTCGACCCACTCGACACCATGCCCACTTGCTTGTGTCGTCCACGTCCCCTCCGCACATTGTCTGCATTGCCCAGACTCCTACTCGACACACCCGGACTTCCTGCTTGACACTATGGGCACTCGTGTGCTCGAGTGCTGGCCCCGCTCGACTGTCGATCCCACATTTGCCCTTGTCCCCTCAGGTTCAAGCGCCTGCTTTTGCCTGCGACTAATATCCTCCTACCCCGCCTAGCCAATTCGTACCGCATGCGTGACCAGCCCTGGTACACTTTTGGGCACGGGCTTGTTCTGATGTACATTGAGCTTGGTGTCATCACCTCGATTACATACTATACCTTTCTGTGGTGCGAGAATGCGCGGTGGGACCACGGCGAGCAGTTAGAGGTCGTCGGTGGCATGGACGGGAAGGAAGGCATGGTGGGAGTAGAGAAGGAGGGGCTAGGGGGGTGGAGGTGCACGCACACCGGAACGGGCGGTTTGTGAGTGTTGCAGGGGTGACACTTGTTTCCTCGACACCACTCCTGCCCTCCTACTCGTCCTCTCAAAACCCTCGACCTTCACTCCCTCAAATTCCCAACTATCGACTGCCCACAGATCGTACCCAGACCCTACCTCAAGGATAAGGAATGGCTATAGCAGAGAGACATACTGGAAAGAGGATTGAAACGGACAACGAGGACATTCACGATGGTTGTAAACTCGTTGAGCAGGCCGGTACGTTGTCGTCTCTCGTGCCAGTTTCTCCCTCTCCCGGACATTCGTATCCCTCACCCTCATCTCGTCTATCTGCCATGCCCACTCACCTGTTCTCCACCACACCTGCCAGCCTGCTCGATGCGCTCCGACACCACACCCTCGTTCTCCTTGACGAATCTCATTTCGCCTCTTCCATCATTAACCATGGGCAGTCCATATAGTATGGTTCCACCAGTGCCCACTAATAAAGCGGCGACGACCATACACATAACCCCTTCAACGCTTGACCTTTCTTCCCTCGTGCCACACATGCCCGCTACCTAGCTCCAAGATTCGACCTCCTTCAACCTCCTCAACGGCACGCACGTACGCACACTCCCTCAATCCCTCAACGGTCCGCACCAACTCCTCACTCCTTCCCTCAGCCCCTTGCACACGCGCCCCTTCGACCCCACGCCTATGCCTATCACTGTCTCGTTTGGCATGCTGCACGGTTTCCATGGCGATGGTGTCCCGCTCCACCAGCGCCTGCGTACTTGCACGGCTCGACGATGCGGACAACCACGACAACGAAGAGGAGCACAAGGAGGAGCACAGAAGAGGCAAGGAAACAGTCGACGAGGAGATCTGCAAAGGTACGTTGTCACTAGCTCCAGTTCCTCCCCTGTACACGTACACCTCCCGCCTTCTATCTAACTCTCCATGTCGCCTTCAACAATCTACCCCTCGACTCTACCCGCCCCCTCCTCTCGTCCGCTCAACCTCTCCCACATCCGACCCGCTCTCCCATCTGATCTGCTCTCCCGTCCGGCCCTCTCGATCCCATCGCTCGCTGTACCGCCCTCCCCGCTCTCCTCGCATGATCTCATGCCCACTAGCCCACCGGCCGGCTCGCCCACATTGTCCACATCCCCTCGCGCATTGCATGCGTTGCCCGGACCCACGCTCAACTCACCTGCATCTCCCACTCGACGTCGCGCTCGCCTGCTCGCTACAGCTCGACACTACCCACCATTCTAGCATATCCTCCACCTCCTCCACCTTTGTCAACACCTCTGCCTCCAACGCCTCGTCCACCATCACCACCATCACCACCCACATCACCACTACCACCACCACCCACATCACCACCACCACCACCACCTCCTCCTCCTCCTCCTCATGCTGCTCCTCCGAGTCCTTGCGCACCATGCCCAGTGCCAACCGCCGCGACCGCGACCGGACCTCGCAGGACTGCTCCAAGTCGATGTCCGCGGCGAGCACCGCTCACATACGCGCCGCCCTCCTCGACCAGGCCGCCGCTGCCACATCCGCATCCGCATCCTCGCGCACTGGCCGGCCTTGCCTTCCCCCGGCGTCACGCCCCCATCCACCCTTGGCTGCTGTATGAGCGGTATAGGACGGGGAGCTTCTCGCATGACGTGCGACGCAGAAGATCGGCAAGGAGGAGACGCGGCGGCTGACGCACCCCCATCGTCTACCCTGCACTCCTCTCCTGTGTCGCCGAGGCCTTCCGCGTGCACATTCTTGAGCGGCAACATGCCTGGCCTTTGCGCACGTGCTCAACGTCACTCACAGTCTCGCCCAGGCCACCTTAGCTCTCCAACCACGCAACCCAGGTGCACATCTAGTGTGCTCAGAGCCTTCTACACGCCTCAGTCCCCATGCACACCGCACCTGAGAGCATACCTGTGCGCACGCCCCCCGTCCGCGATGGGCTCCTCTGTGCACAAAATCGCTGCCCACGTGACCAGCGTCGGCGCCAAAATGCGTGCACTCGCACTCTCCACGCTTGTGACGACCCTGCTGGTTCGGCTTTTACAAAGCATGCATCTCCTTCATCCACTTTCCCTTTTTCCCCCCATCTCCCTCTCTTGTTCTCTCTCGTCGTCCCTTCGCAAGCGTTCGGTGTGACGTCCATTCATCGCTTGTGCAAATGCATGGCTCCATACACTTCTGATTGTGTTCACAACCGACAGGATTCATATCCCTGTGTGCCCATCCATTCATCGGATCTTCAATCTCATGTCACTGCCCGTGCAGAGACATAGCGGTAGCCTCCTCTGTGGATGCATGCAACTAATTGAATCTTGCTTGCCTGTTTTGAGGCGCGGCTGGCAACTGAGCCCTCGTCTCCGAGCATCCGAGATCGATCTCGACGCACCCGGGTGTTGTCGCATTTCTTTCATTTTATTCTTGGCTTTTTTGTATTGTTCTCGGCAAATGACTGGTTGCTCACATCGGCACTCTATAGCGTGTATACCGTCCCGATTCTCATCGGCTCCAACAATCAAAGTCTGTCACTCCAGGTTGACATGGGCTCATCCGACCTTGTATGTTGCTTTATTCACCCACTCTACCGGCGCTGACGTGTTTGCTCCAAGTGGGTAGCATCCAGATCTTGCTCCTCCTCCGCTTGCTCCAATAGTGTTTGTTTCTACGGCCCCTCCAAAGCTACCTCAACGGGTGCCACCTTCTCCATCCAATACCTCAAGGGAAGCGTCAGCGGGCCCATCTACTGGGACTCAATTCAGATTGGTGGCTACGGCATCGAATTTTAAGCTTTGGGTACGTCCCCACCTTCCTGCTTCTTTTCCCTATTCGTGATGTGTCAGCTGCCCTGTAGCTGCCGTCACGACTATCCAAGACGAGCCCCTCGAGCGTGATTTTGATGGCTTCCTCGGCCTCGCGCTTCCGCTCAACTCCATCATCGCTAGCATCCTCCCGCCCTCGACCGGAAATTTTCCCTATGGCACCGTCTTTGCCTCGAACCTCTTCGGCATCACCCCTGTCGGTTCTGCCCCCGCCGCGCGCTTCTTCTCGCTCGCACTCTCCCGTCCCGACTCCCTCGAGGTTACCTCGCTGCTCGGCAT